CACACACACACACACACACACACACACACACACACACACACACACACACACACACACACACACACACACACACACACACACACACACACACACACTTAGGCACACCTCGACATGAAGGCAGGTGTACTTGCTGGAGGAGAGAGACAGAAGACATGGAGATATGCTCCCTGCACCCCGGCGTGCCTGTCTCTGCCCCTCGCCAAACGAAAAGGAGGCACCCACTCGCCGGCCGCCAAGAAACCACAGAAACTTGCTCCCCTCTTTGTCCCTCCCCCCCCCCTCCCCTCCCCCGCGCCCTCTCGTGCCTGAGACGGTGCGTGTGTACATATTCAGACATAAAGCGGCGGGAAGACGTCCAGCGCACATGGTTGACGAGGATAGCCCGGAAGGGGAGGAAATAGGGAGGGAGAGAAAGGGAGAGATAAACACGCGAGGGGAGTAAGAAGAAGGGGCAAAACAGGAGAGGACACCGGCAAAAGGCGCTTTCCTCGTATGCGGGCAGGCGACAGGCAGGCAGCAGTGGGAACCAAAATACATGGAAAGGGACAGATGGAGAAAGGACAGAGGAGGAGATGGCAGCAAGGGACAAACCAAATAGCGACAGACAGGGGAACAGGAGGAAAGAGGGAGGGGAGGGGCATAGGGAGGTGGGGAGTTGTATGATACAGAGGAGCGGGTGAGACGACTTGGGAGGAAGGACGCAGGCGGCAACAAAGGGGCACAACGCGCGCGATCACACGTAATGCGGTCGCTACACGACTCTAGGCGGTAAAATCTTCCGACAGGAACTTGGCATCGTCGTAGAGACGCGCGACAATCCGCTGGCCAGCAAACCACCGCCCATTCATGACATCCTGGCACTTGACAGCGGCCTCGGTGGTGTTGAAGCGAACGAAGAAGCGCACGGGGGCATTTGGATCGGCCTATGCGCGTAGCAGGGAGGAGGCAAGGCGTACGTCAGTAAAGGGATGGCGCGAAAGGAAGGCAGAGAGTGTGGCAGGTGGAAAGGACACCGACGGGGATCCGCCACAGGTCGATCACGACACGCACCCGGTCGCCGAAGACGTGGAAGACAATGGCCCGGATGGGGCCGCTGCGCTCACACTCGGACCGAATCTCGGCCACAAAGTCCTCGGCCTCCTCCTTGTCCATGACATCGGAATTGCGCGCCATATTCTCAAGGAGCAGGGTTTGCGAGGCAGGGACCGAGTTGACCAGCAACTCTCGCATGATGGCCTGCTGCATGGCTGACCCGCCGCCGCCGCGCAAGGCCGTGGCCGTCGGGTCGTACACAGGGCCGCCGGGGCCTGGGATCGGCATGATCCCCGCCGGGGACCTGTCACCCCCGAAGGACGGCGTGGGCATGGGGATGGGCGCCGCACCGGCGATCGGCTGGCCGCTGGGCGCGCCGCCGCCAATGGCTCCGCTGCCGCAGGCACCGCCCTGGAAGCGGGTCGCCAGGCCATTGGGGCCGATTTGCGTGGCGATGAAGGGAGCACTTTGGGGAGCCGCTTCCGGCGGCAGGACCATCCCCGGGTCCATGGAGCTCATGCCCTCAGGCAGATCCAGCCCGGCCACCGACCGGGTGACGCACAGTTGCCGGCCTTCGATATCGTAGCCGTGGTAGCTTTCGATGGCCTTGTTGACGGAAGCAGGCTCGCTGAACTCCACAAACCCGTAGGTCTTGTGGAAACCCGGATGGAGGGGATCCGGCACGAGAACACACCGGGTGACCTGTTGACAGGAGAACGCGAGGGCGGAGGGCCAGGGGAAAGGGGGGGGGGGGGGGGGGGCGGGATGGTGAAATGAGTAAAGGAGGAGGCGCGGGACGGATGGAAGGGAGGACAGGGAAGGGGGGTGCCACTCAGGGGCCCAAGGATGGGCGCACCTCGCCAGCGAGGTTGAAGATACGGCTGAGCACGTCTTCCGTCAACCGAGGGCTGATGTTGGCCAGGTACGCGCGGTTCTCGGTCGGGGGCGGCAGGCCGCCATTGGGCCTGGTCTGATCCACCTTCGACGGACGCGACACCCGAATGGACCGGGGGAGGTGCGTGCCTGGAGGGAGAGAAGTGTGGGATCCATGCGTGTGCAAGTGAAAACGGGAGAGAGAGAGAGAGAGAGGGGGGGGGGCAGGGAATTGGACGGAACATTAGCTCAGGGAGGGTGGTGGGAAGAGAAGGGGCAACGAAAGCCACCGGGCACGCATGTGCGAGCAGACGAACCTAGTGTCAGCCCATTCATGATGAAGGCAGCTGTGGCGGCCTCCGGGACCTCGTACTCGACAAAGCCGAAGCCCTTGAATTTCTGTGTGGCCGAGTCGAAAGGCATGTCCGAGCTGCGAATGTAGCCGAAGGTCGAGAAAATCTGAACTCGAGAGGGGGGAGGGGGGAAACAGCCGTCAAAATGACTGAGAAACCACGGAGGAACGGCACAGGAGCATGGGAAGGGAAGAGAGAAGGGAAGAGAGATACAGGGAGGAGGGGGGGGGGGGCAAACGACAGCCAGGGCTGACACACCTCAAAGAGCTGCTGGGGGGTAATCTCGTGGGGGATGTTGCCAATGTAAAGTGTAGACCAGGAGTGGATCAGACGCTGAAGCTCCTCTTGTGCGAGCTTCTTCTGCAGGGCCGCCTGGCGTTCGGACCGGGCAACGAAGCTAGGCACACGGGAAAGGGGCGGGGCAGGGGAAGTGTGTGTGTGTGTGTGTGTGTGTGTGTCAGTAAAGGAGCACCGTGGGAAGAAGGTAGACGGAGCGAGGTAGAACAGCCGGCGCAGGCCGGCGTCCTCTGCTGGGCGTGGAAAGCTGGAGACGCACTCAGTGTGAACATTGTTTGCAAAAGCCAGCGCCCGTGAGCACAGGACCTTGTAGTACTCCGGCAGGAGGTCCTCGGAGACGCCGAATTCTGGTGAAAGGGAGCGGAGAAAGAGAAAGCAACAAAGGGCGAGGGGGGTGGGGGGGGGGAATAGACGTGTGGGGAAGACCACACATCGAAGAGAAGACCAACACATGGGCGGATACCCAGGTCAATGAGGGGCACGCGGCGCGGCCAGACAGGCGGAGGAGCAGAGAAGGCGAGAGGCGCACCGGCAAACTTGGCCTGCATGGCTGACACATGCTCCTCCGGCAGGGAGGCCTCCTCCTCAGTCATGGTCTTGCGCCAGTGGGCCTCGCGCGAGGAAACCGGCGATGAGCCACCACCGCGGGAGCGCGAGGGCGAGGGCGAACTCCGGCGCGACCGGGACCGATCGCTGCTACGATAGCGATCATGGTCGCGCGAGGATCGGCTGCGATCGCGGTCTCGCTCGCTGACGGAGCTGTCGCGCGACCGGTCGCGCGACCGCCGAGACCGCGAGGGCGACCGCGATCGGGCCCGCTCATCGCGCGCCGAGCGTCCCGGAGAACCGGGGACCTCCATCGAGTCGGGGCCCGGGGCATCCGGCCCAGACGCATCTGGGCTGGCCTCTCGGCGGGCAGGGTCGCTCATGATGGGGGATGCCTCGCGGGAAGTCATGGCTCTTTCGCGGCCAAGATAGCAGGAGAGGCGAAGGGGGGGAAGGAGAGAGGGGCGAGGG